TTAGGAATAAAGACTTCTGAGTTCTGGTGCATTTGTACATGCGGGGGTCATTATGTTACCGCTATGTGGTATCTTGTTGTTTTTTTTTTCTCTCCAGAGATTTTTGGTCAACCGCAGCACAAAAATGGCTGCACCGATCAATATGAAGGACTGGACATGAGTCTAATCTACACTGCGCCAGCCAACAGTTTTACGATAGACCCCATATTTGAGGAGGGGGCTACTTTCAAAGAGGGGTGTCTATAAATTTACATAAAATCTGGATTCATACCAAAGAGTAGTGTATTATCGCAATCAACAAGACAAATTAAGTGATATCTCTGGACAAGCTTATGAAATCAGAATGATCCAGGTGTCAAAATATAGCTTTTAAAGCCAGGAATTTGAAAATGTAGTTGGGTAATTTTTGGTAATTTTGTCCAAATTTGATTCTCATTTCGATATAATGGGTCACATATAACATAATAAATAATGTGTTCTTGTTAACCTGAGGGTAAAACAATGTTTATCAACCAACAACAACTGGGGGCACAGGTTTCTGCTGCTGGTATTTTGTGGGTCAAAAGCTGAAAAGTTTGGGAACCACTGCCCTACACTCTAAAAATGAAATGTTGGATTTACTTAACCATGTTATATTACCTGGTTCCACTTTACTGAGTTGAGTAAATTCAAAGCAACGTATTCATGTTCTTTGGCTAAAAAACTGGTCCTCAAGGCACACTCCCCTACATGTTGTTGTTCTTTTGTTTTTAATGGCAGTTGGCAGACTTGTTTAGTTCATTACTGCCACTACTAGACTGGGGGTGGAACTGGAGAAGGCAGGCAAAAAGGAAAAAAAATATATATTTGACTAAATAAACTAAATAGACTTCAAAAATAAAATCACCTTACTGAATATGCTGGCAGATTTATCCTCCAAAAGCACAGATAATGTAAAATTCTGCTGTTTTTCTTTACCTAAAAAGATTATCCCTGTGATTGCTATATTTGTTACAATGACGCAATACATGTTCCACTGTCTCTGACTGATTACAACATGAACATGTTCCTGTTGGATGTTTACCTATCTTATATAGAGTTCTGTTTAAACCTAGTGTCCTATTCTAAGCTGAGTAAATGCCCTACATGTTAGAGGTTTCCCTGCTTTGACACACCTGATTCAGATGATTGCAGTTCACCAAAAGCCTGCTAATCAGTAATCAATAGAAATCAGCGGTGTTGAAGCAGGGAAACATCTAAAACATGCAGGACACTGTGCCTTGAGGACCAGGGTTGAAAAACACTGCTCTAGATTGCCACACCTTCTGTGAATTTGCTGAAAACAGTGACATTAACTACTGGAGCCAACCCAGTTTGTCTGTTAGCAAATATATTTCATGAACCGTTGAACTGATTGTAATGATTTTGTCAGAAAATAGTCATCAGATATACAGTACAACTACAAATGATACATTTTTTGGGGTCAGAAAGGCTACCACAGCCTATTAGCGAACAAAAACTTATTAGCAAACAAAAAAAATGCCTGTAACTCAGTCAAGTTTAAATATTTTGAGCTGAAATTTGATGCATTAGTACCAAAGAACCATTCACAACACAAACTCTGAGCGCTAACACATCAGGCAAGCTGTTGCAACATTGTGTGAGAATGTGCAGAATGTTATTTTCAAGCTTGGACGGAAACAACTTTAGCTTTGTTATTTCTCAACATAAGATGTTCTCCGCAGTAAATTCTGGTATGAAAGGCAGCAGGCAATATGCATTCTTTCAAAAAATACAAGGTTTTAACTTTTTTTTTTCAGAACACCCCATGATAACTGATCAGTTTAAAACTTTTTCCATTTGCATTAAGCAGTCAACAAATTTGGCTGAGGGGTTAAATATATTTTTCTGCTGACATGAACATAGGGGAATATATTGTTTTCATAACAGTTCCTGATTTCTGCAGCTTTTCTGTACTTGGGACACGTCAAACCAAGGTTTCTAAGCTGAACAGGGCCTTCAGCATCATACCACCTCAGGCTGATTTTCTGATCCTTTTAGATCCTTTCTTACTTTTCTGGTTTTGACACATCAGCTTCAGCAACACTACCCACACTATTACAAAAAAAAAAAAAAAAAAACAGAGTTACTCATTTTACATGTCAGTAGCTGTCTCAGACTAACAGCAGCTTTGTGGATTTCCAGGTACGGAGTATGTCTTATTGGAATCAAAAGGGAGGAGAACAAGAGCATCCTGCTGAATCCTGGTCCGCACCACATAATGGCTGCCACAGACACCTGCTACTACATCAACATCACCAAAGAGGAGAACTCGGCGTTCATTTTTAACCAGGAGGAGAGAAAGGGCCGCCCTGCAGGGGGGATCTATGACGGGCCTTCACAGCTTCCCGTGCACAGCATCATTGCCAGCATGGGTGAGAGAAACTAAACTCTGGATGGAAAAGTGCAAGCAGCTTTAAACCAACTTAGATTCAGAAGTTTTGTATTTCTTATTCAAGACAAGATGAACTTGTTTCACAGGTACTGTTGCCATAGATCTGCAGAACACAAGCCCACCCAACATTTCAGGGGGCAAACTGGTTCCACCGACAGTAAACGGAACAGGAGGGCGGCGGCCGAGCATCGCTCCAGTTCAGGAAATAGCCGACTCCGCCTCCATCCTGCCTTGTGACCTCTTAAGTGACCAATCGGAGGATGACGCTATCTTTACAGATGAAAAGGGACGCTCACCGACCGAGTAAGTAACTTTTATGTCATGGCAGCAAACAGCATCAACATATCAGTCTAAAGGACAAACACTGAAGCTGAATTTCAATATTCTGTCAGATGAAGCTGAAATACTTATAAAGCATTAATACAATTGAGATTTTTTTTCATCAGTATGGTTTTTTTGGCACGTAACTTTTTACGCAATTTTTGTGTTTTCTCAACAATTTATGCTGTTTATCAAAACATTTAGCTAATTCAGGACATTCCAGCTATCACATTTGTATTTCAGCAATTTATACTTTGTGAAATATTTAGCATTTTCTGCCATTTTGTTCTTGTATTATTATTATTATATTTTTTTCTCATTGAAAATGAGCTGTCTTCAAAATGTTCATACATCTTTACTGTATTTTTCACATGTTGTTCTAGTTCTCCTTTTATATCTTTTTTGTGGTAGTTTCAGCTTCCTTCTTCTTCTATTTAGCTTATTTTAGCTTTTTTCTGCCTTTTTTAGCTATCATTCTGACCCTTTCTGCTATTCTTCTGCTAATTTTAACTTCTTCTTTTGCTACTTTAAACTTTTCTTTTGTTAGTTTCATTTTCTTTCTACCCTCTTCATCTTTTTCGGTCCCTTTCAGCTATATTTCTACACCTTTTACTTTTTATCTGCATTATTCAGCATTTTTCAGCCATTTTCTGCCCCTTGAAGCTTTTGTTTTCACAGTTTGGGTTCTTCAACAAATTTCAGCAATCATTCTGCTTATTTTTGGTTCAACCTTACTTTCAAATTCAGCAAATATTAATAGTTCAGGTTAGTTTAATTTAGTTTAGTTTAAAAATCTTTCAGGTTCTTCAGCAGCTTTTAGCTAAGGAGCATTCACACTGCATTTTTGCAGGTAATGCACTTTCTCTAGTTTTCTTTTTCTTTGTACATTGTTTGGCCTGAAATGTTTATTTATTTATTTATTGTTTTTTGTATGTTTTTAGTGTATGTGTATTTTTTTGTATGTTTTTATTTTATTTTATTTTATTTTATTTTATTTTTTTAGCATTTTGACATGTTAGGCAGCACACTGGACAAAAACAGGAAATGAAGGGAGTCTAGATGATGACTCAGCTGCTGTGGACATTTTAGCCCACGTGGTGTGCTCCTGCAGTTCAATTATTATTTAGTTGTCATTCACAGCAGTTCATTGCAGATAAATATGTATTAATATGATTATTAATATTTGTCATAAAAGTCCATGTTTGCCAATCTTAAAAAAGGTAATAATAATCAGATACTATTTCAGAAATATGAGAAAATATCTCAAAAATAAATGCTATCTCATATTTATTTCCTGTAATTTTGACTTAGCATTTTAGTAATCTGAGATGCTAAGTTGAAATTTCGAGCTAGTACCTTTTTAACTAGAGTGGCATATGGTGGAAAAAATCTACAGTTCTTTAAGTTTTGTAGTTTTACTTGTGCAATCATTGGAATGTAGGGTTTTACTTTAATTATAAAAAGAATCCTATTTAGATTTAGTTTTGGTAAATTTCCAACATTACAAGAAAAATAAAACAAAATGAAATAATATTTTACAAATACACATCAATAATTAACCAAAAAAGGAATAGACTTGCCTACCTTATTCAAATACTCAGTCTACATAAAAGAAAGACATCTACTGTCCCTATACATACATACATACATACATACATACATACATACATACATACATACATACATACATACATACATACATACATACATACATACA